TTTCTTCCATTCTCCTATAGAGTTATACAGTTGCCCAGTGATGACCGAATAGATTTTTTGTCTTCAAACGACATTGTTAGAATATTAATTCCGTTTCAGTACTATTCGTTGTTATTATAGAGGATTACCCGGTTTTCTTTCATCTATTTCTATTTCAGAAGGAATGTTTAACGAAGGATTAGAGTTATGAATGAACCAATGAGAAGTAGAAGTACAGCTCGTACAATTAGCCGCCATCCATAAAGGATCTTTTCTTCGAATTTCTTCTTGTGAGGGGAACAGATGATGATAGGCTAATACTTCCAGATATGATGCGAGTTGTCGTTGTCAGATTATCATTTGCCGAATTTCAGTATATTTTTCTTCTCCGTTCGAACAAGTAGCGCTCATCCGTTGGATTCGCTGACCCTTTTCTGAAAGAATTAACAAAAGTAGTGAATAAAAACTCACTTAGATTTCAATCTAATCGACTTCAAGTTGGAGTCACATTTATGCATATAGTTTCCGTCTAATCATTTTCTACTTCATTTATGTCAAATTACTTAGAATTCATTTGTTCAAAGATATGGGCAAAGCGAACATTGTTTTTAAACATCTATTCATAGACATAGACTCTCTTTCGACTATTCAAAGTCAAATATCCATTTACTTTCACTGATTTTATCTTCTCTAAGCTACTCAAATAAATGCCTAGTCGTTTCCATGATTATTCTTACTATGCCTTTCACTTTTGATTCATTCTCAAAGTGACTGACTATTTTCTTGTTCTTTTTAGTCTGAAGTGATGTTCCATGCAGTCGCCCTTTTCGTTTTTGTATGCATCCCAGTAGAATACACCGAGAGCAAAAAAGGACCTCTCTAGACCTGTCTTGTGTATGTTCTCTAATCTTTTTCTTATATACACAAAGTCTCTGTTTTTTTCGTAGAGCGTTTCTTACGTAAGAAAGGCCATCTGATAAGGCCGAAGCGCTTCGTGGCTATCTCTACTCATCAGGATCCTGCTCTGACTTTATCACCTTTTTGAACAAATCGTTCACGCTTCTTAAAGCATATTCTTGTGAATGCTTCGAATAAATTAAAATGGATAGTTCTGTAAACAACAGACATGATCATTTTGCTTTCTAACTCGTATATTTTATAAGATTGAAACTTATCCACAACTTGAAAATGTTTTTGTTTCAAAATGTAGCTAATTTGAAAAGGCACGTATCCATGTTTATTTACTAAAGTATTTATACGAGTGATAGACGGGCTCCAATGCGATTAATTTGAACAAATAGACACCACGGAAAAGGACAGTGAAGATCATTTACTTCTATTTCGTCTCGCTCACTACTATCTTTACATATTACGATGCTCAGTCGGTGCTCATTGCAATGCAATGTTAATTCAATCACAGCCCCATCCGCATTTGATATGTGTATTCTTTCACCATCCCACTGTCCGTCGACAAAGCGTCTACCATGTGTGTACCATCCGTATGTAGAAGGCGTTCCGCAGTACATTTTGTTTAGGTTGGGTTCAACCTGTATATGGCGTGAGCGAATTCCAACAAATGCAGATCCATAATGCAGTTTTATTCGAATCCGATGATTACCTGTTGAATATGAATTTCTACCAACAGCACAATTGAAGGTCAAGCGTTTTATCGTTTCGAATGTCTGCCCGTCGTCCACTATTTGCGCAGCACTGTCAGCACATGAATAAATTTTATCGAATTTTTCATCCCTTACTTCTTCGACATTGGCCGGGCCAGCCACTGATCCACATGAAAGTGCCATGCTTTTGTTTTCTTTAAGCATTTCGTACTGTCTTGTTCGGTCGTTTATGTATTTCACAGTTTTTGTTTTTCTTCTTCTATTTTATTTCTTTTTTCTGTTCTACACGTCACAAAAGCACTCTCATTTTATTTTTTAGCCAAGAAATACACCAATAATAAAAACTTCTGACTTGCATGAAAAACACACAATAAGTCATAGTTTTGATAATAACTCGTACGTTATTTTTGATATTTTTCGTTTTAAGTATTTTAAATCCAAAGGAAGAAACGCTTTGACAATGAAATAGTTCTAAATGATAATCAGCACGCGTTGATTATATTTTTCAATTATTTTGCTGATAGACCGTCCTTCCTTTTTCGTATTTTAATGAATGAAACAAAACATATAGAACATCATCTGTGGCGATTCTACTGAATAATGTCGAAAGTAAAAATATCGTACTTAAAAAGATCGAATACGCCAATTATACAAACGTCGAAAGATGAACAAGATGCGAATGATTTAGTTTGAGAAAGGCATTGTTCTTCACCCTCACTCTCAATCTTACACATCTATCTGCACTCTCATTTTTGTTTTCGATGGTTTGATTTTCGATATTTTGGCTTTCGACATTTTAACATTTCGATCAATTTCACGTTAACCCTTCGAAAGAGAAAAAACGCACTACGATTACTACTAGTGCTCAACTGAATTATGGCACTATGTCACACACTAGAATGAATAGGATGCAAAAGTCTTTTTAGGGATCTGACCGATTAGCCATTTGTCAGTGGATAATTCTCCAGCACTAACTATGTTGACTGAAAAATTCATCGCTCAATGGCTAGTTAGACGGCCAACCATTGACCTTTGTCATCTGTTTTTTCTATTGTCGCACCACGTGAATGGAAATTTTCATAAATACTTTGCCAAATCATCCATAGACGGATGATATACAGTAGACTACTTGAAAAGTTTGAACATTTGCCGGTGTCTTCCAGCGATAAACCGATTTTTTTCTCTCCTGTCAAAAAAATGATACCTTGTCGAATATTTTCATTGAAGAATATCCATTCGTCAAATCCCTTTCAAAGTTATCTGAAGCCTGGCAAGGTTATTCTAAGTGTGCACTTTAGGATTAATCTAACATTTAAACGCCTAGTCGTTCGTCGACTTCCCTCTCGAAACGAACATCTTTCATAGCGCTGCATGTGTTCAGAATACTGTTTCTACAGTCCACGCGTCTGTAGTTACTAAGATCGAATTCCACCGACGACTATATCGCTTTGCGAACTACTTCTACTAAATTTCCATGAAAGCACATGATGTACGTAGCCTACAAAGCAAAGATGATACTAAGCTCATATCACTTTTTCGGATTTCTTGAATTAGAAACATCATTATATACAATGCATTAGATCTTTTCATGTAAGTTCTTGAGCTACTAGCTTTGTACGCATGACGTCCGTGAATAGCGTTCAGCTCACCATCTTCTACAAAAGATTTTAGAACAGATAAAGAAAAATATCTCGTTTGTAAAGAGGCAGGAACAAGCCCAGGCTCAGCGAATAAAACGAAATTCACCCTCAAATTCGAATTTCCCGACGTCAGAAATTCTTAAAGTAATGAGAAGCAGAATGATGTGTCGCCATGTTCTTCGATGGTTTAGGTAGTCGACTTAACGGTAGATAAATCTGACATATCGGATGTTGGTTTTATTTGCTCTAGAGTAAAGATTTCTCATTCAGAGATAGCCTGTCATTCTGAGAGTGAAGTGTGGCCAAGTGTTTCTAATGGAAGCGTTTGTAAACACTTTTCATGTTCTTCACAATAAGAAAATTATAAAAAGACCATTTTTAGATTAGCGTTACAGATTTTGTCGACGTCGTCTCTACATCCAATTAAATGTCAGTTGTTTCGCCGATGTACTTTTTATGATAAGCTTCTTTTTCTCGGATACACGTAGAGTTTCTATGTTAAGACAATTTAATTAGACTTTTCAGAACGTCATTCTATCGCTATATTTTTTCTCTTTAATATATAGAGACTTATCATAAAGAGTCAAGTGACGTGCATCATTTCATTCGTCTATAGAACACACTTCTGCGACACTTAACATTTAGTTGATATTCATTAGAATCACTGTCTCTTACACTCATTTAGATAGAAATGAATGTCAACAACCGTAGCAATGGAAGTTCTTTCGGTGGCGATAGCGGTGGAATGGGCCCACCCCCAAGTTCTGGCTCATCTGCTATCACACCTCTACAAAGAAATGTTGTTCTTTATGGCTATTTAATTCTTTTCATCTTTGGCTTTTTTGGTCATTCGATGAGTTTAACTATCTTTCGTCGTCCAACTCTTTGCAAAGTATCAACAAGCACACTCTTCATCTATATGACAATATCCGATCTCATTTANCAACGGCAACAAAAGACACAGTTAAGACGCAGTGACGGTGGTGGTCGTCGTCGTGTTTTTCTCGATCGACAAATGTTGTTGATCATGATCTCAAGCATCATCCTGTTTTTCATCACTCAGATTCCATTGAGTCTCTTTTACATTCTCATGACCTATGTTCTACGATCGAGACTCACATTGGAACAACTATTTCAGTTCAACAATTTTGCCATTTTGATTGCCTCGATCGATTATGCAGTAAGAAGGAAGAAGAAAGATTTGTTATTTCATCAGAAAGTTTGTTTCTTTTAGGCATCATTCTATGTTCATTGTCTATCAAGTCGATTGTTTCGTCAAGAATTTTACAATGTGATACATCTTGTTCGAAATCGTCGTGTTGGTGTTGTCACACAATTGTTTGGTCATGAAGCCACTCAAAACCAAATTCAATTGACACAATTACGAACTCGAAAATGAAAATTTCTGAATTTAATGATTAAACTTGTCCATGATATAAAGATTTTCTTGTTGATCAAAAACGATTTCCCCTGAAGCAAACAGTTTATGTTTTGTTTTCAGGCGACCACAGATGTTCATTATAGTGAATAATGATTTGTCCATGTAATGAATCTTTGAAAAACCTCATAATTCGATGATTCCGATGATTATCTGAATCAGAAATACAAATCCATTGGTGATGATCCACGAGGATAAATGTTGGATGATTCAGTCGATGACATTTTTCGTGTTCACTCGCGATATTTCTTCGTATCAGAAATGTACACATTTTCTTGATTGTCCATTGTTATTCCAAAACAATCGACAATTTGCAAAAGAACTTTCCTCGATTTCGAATTTTCACTGAAAAATCGGAGAACTGTTCGATTCTGTCGATCGCAGCTAAAGAAGAATTTGCCCTTTCGATTATAATCAATATCTGAGGGTTCACTCAATTGATTCATTGCATTTCCACAAAAGTTTCTTCCAGAAATTCTTTTGTCAATCCGATGATTTTGCTTATTAACAACGAACAAATATTTGTTTTCGTATAAACTCTCCGCGAAATGCAGTTGATCCAAAGAATATTCATATCTATTCCCACCAGCAATCGTCAATCCTTGCGAATCCCACTGCGAGTAAGGGTGTGAAATTTCATTGAGATAAATTGGTTGAGTTAGGTTTAAGCCATCGATGACGAGAGGCTTCTGTTGTTGGTTTCTCTCGAGATAGACTTCAATTGAAATTGTTTGAAGAACGTGTCGAATATCGATGTTGATTCGATCGAGATATTTTAGTAAAGATTTGTTGAATACGTTTTTGGGCAATCGAGAATGAATGTCGATACAAATAGTTGTTTCTTCTCTTTGAATAAATGTCGAAAGATGGTCTGCAAATGAGTTGCAAGGTCCGGGATCGTCTCTTCATTCGTCAAATGTTGATTTTGAATTGGAATTAGATAACATTTCTCATTCATTTGATAAACACAACTCGAATAATAGAAAAGAATCAAATCGTTTTCCTGAATTTGTTCAGCAAACTCTTTAGCAAGTTTCGTATTCGATTGTTCATAATCATTATTAGAAAGGATTAATGCGAGTTTTCGTTTGTAAGACATTCGGTGATGAATGACATTCATTCTTCAATGAATTTTTCTTGACAAAAGTTTTCTAATGAGACCTCTTTGCATTTAGAATGGGAAAGAAACCGCACGTCTCTCAAGGCTATTCGAGACGAAAGAGAAAGGAAAAACCAGCAGTTACTCAAAATCTACTGTCGTTTTCTTGGAGAATGAAGAGAATCTGAATTCTTTTTATATTTCATCAATCTTTCGTTCTTTTCATTGCTTGAAAATGACACGATTTGTGTCACAATCACTTGCATCGTTCCGTCTGAATTGGACAAAGGAGAAAAGTTCGAAATACTCTTGCAAGTGCATTTCTTAATGTCATTTGATACTGTGAAACCTTGAAGCCTGTTTTTATCTTTGATTATTTAATATTCTGCGAAAACCGACGCACTTCCATTTCATACGTCAGAAAATCAATATTTATGAGAAACGCCAGCGGTTCGATTTCATGTATCTCACCGATCGAAAAACTAATGCATCGGAGATATTCTAGTCACGAATGTGTTTTATTCGATCGAGTCAACTGGTAAACTCAAATAATGACTCATTTGAAACAGTGTTGCTACCCATGACAAATGAACCACGTAGATCTGATGTTCCGTTTCTAATGAAAAGATCATAACGATAGTGCCACGAAGGAGTCTCGTATTTGCTGGTGACGATGATATACGAACAATTTCCTCTTCGGTAACATTCTCTTCTTTTCTTTTGAAAAAAAGGATGGATCAAATGTGACAAAAGACAATGTTAATACGTGTCAATTGATCAAATCCATTGAAAATAATGAAATTCTTTCTCAAATCTTCGATAAAAATGATGAAGATATTTCCATTATTCGAAAATGGATTCTCGATGGTTCACCAATTCCGGAAGAAACTGATGA